ATGTTCATTTAATGACTTCGAAAATATTAGAATGTCGTCAAGAATAACTGACAGCAAATGCCTCTAAACCTTGTAAGACATGTGACATGAGTTCTTGGAAAACTCCAGGGGCAGAAACTAGGCCAAAAGGGGTTCGGTTGAACTCAAACAAGCCTCGGAATGTCGTAAAAGCCGTTTTTTCCTTGTCTGATTCATGCACGGGTATTTGCCAAAACCCTGATCGCATGTCTAGTGTTGTAAAATATTTTGAAGACCCTAGTAGAGTTAAAATATCATCAATTAATGGGAGAGGATATGATGTTGGCTTTGTAATTTTATTCAATTGTCTAAAATCAACACAAAACCGTTTACTGCCGTCACGTTTTCCGACAATAACAACAGGAAATGAATAAGGGCTATGACTTCTTCTTATAATATTAGCATCTAACATCTCATCGATTGCGTCACTCATAAATTTTCTATTGTTTAAAGGTGTGCGATATGGGCTTAATTTGATTGGAGGATGATTACCTGTTGGTATTTTCATGGTAACAGTATCTGTCTGTGATAATTCAGAATCTTTATTGGCGAAAATATTTCTATATTTCCTTAATAAATCTCTAACAATATTAAAATGCTCTGAAGGTGTATGAATATCACGTTCGAAATCGTTGTTAAGAGGGGAAGTTGTTTGAAGAGCCTCTGTAACCGAGTTAATGCTCTCAACTTCTGAAACTTTAGCAACTACTGAATCTCGTTTTAATCTTATAGTTTTATGCGTATTATTGACAATCATAATAGGAAATCTTCTATCAGCCGAAAGTTTCATAACAGAATTTGTTATCATAAGACCTGGTTCAGAAGCAATCATTCCAGTTTCTATACTTTTTAATTCATATAATCTATCATTTTCCAAGCCTGGATTTTGTTTTAACTTAGCAGTGCACACATTAACTGTTTGAGGTTTCAGAATAACATCCTGTTTTAACCTAACAATTGATGCAATATGAATATCTTCTTCGAGGGGTACATATGTATTATTAACTCTTAAGCAGCCTAAATCAAAATATAATCTAACACCATTTTGTGTTAACCAATCACGGCCTAAAATAATATTTCTATTCATTTTAGAAACAACATAGAATTTTTGAGTTGTTTCTGTTTTCCCTATTTGAAAAGTAAGATTTATATAACCATCTATATGTAAATAATTTCCGTCAACTGAACATAAATTTATTTTCTGTTTTATAAGTTGAGGGGGATTCTTCAATTTTCTATATATTCTGCGATGCAGAAGACAAACTTCAGCACCTGAATCTACTAACGATCTGTATTTATAGTTTTCTATTTTAATCAAACACGAATTAGGGCTTCCAGCTAATGCTATACTAAATTTTGGTATTTTATCGTTCCTGTCAATGACCCCTTTGTGGCAGGAACTTGCTAGTTTTCCTGAAAATTTATTTTGTTTCTGTCGTAAAAATTTTGTTTACGACATTCACGCATAATATGACCAAAATTATTACATTTCCAGCACTTAATCTTTGATTTCAAACTATTATTGCTATTATTTTTCCTAAATCGTGACAAATTTTGTCGGTGAAAAACAGAATATATTTCATTTTTCCTAAATCTACAACTACGTACATGGTGACCTGGTCTCTTACAGTACACGCAAAAATTTCTTGTATAATATTTATTAGAATTATTTGCTCTGTAATTATTGTATTTTGCATGATTTTGAGAATTAGAAAATTTTACTCTGGCAGAAAATCTAGCTCTGAAATTCTGTTCATTCATTGCGCAAGTAATTGCTTCTTGTAAAGTTTTGGCTTTTCTCTCATAAGTTTAAGTTTTAAATAATTATGCGCTAAATTATCCGTAAACAATTCTACTAACTGAAGTTCAATTAAACTATTATCTCCTAGTTTATAATTTTCATAAGCGGTTTCAGCACAATAAATAAATTTTTCCCCAAAAATTTGAACACTTTCTCCCAAATCTTGTTTTAAATTTCTCAAAAGATAAAATTCATGATGTAAATCTTTAATTTCCCCAAATCTAGTACTTATTTCTTCTTTTAATTGTTCCCACGAATTACGATGATTATCACGCAAATATCTACATATAAAATCGCTTACAGTCCCTTTACTTGATTGAAATGCGACTAATTTTATTTTATTATCATCCAAACCTTTTAAAATAGCATATTTTTCTATAGATTTTATCCAGTCATTAAAATATTTAGAATTTCCATAAATATTTTGTACTATTTCTGATAAACCCTGTGTACCTATGATAGTTGAAATATTGTTCAATTTATCTGACAAATTTTCAAAAATTGTAGTTATTTCTTGATCTGACATCTTCAAAATTAGCAAATTACAGGTATATAAACGATCACTCACCTTTAATTTTCTGTTTCAGGTACTTCGTTGTGTCCCGCTGTCCAAAATCGTCGCTTCGACATCGCTGGTCTTAGGCGCCAAATCAACCGTTGTCGCATAACGGAGGAAGAACTCACGGATGTTACATACTTTTAATATACAAATACAAACACACATGTGAACGAGTGGAATACCAAAGTCGAACTCCCGGACTGAATATCTAGCCCAAAATATATAGTGACAGTTTACACATAAAATGTTATGAAATCTAGCCGACTTACAAATACGTTATCTATCATTTTGACATAAGCTCAGTTTGTATGTATCTTGCACTATAATACACATAAATCATGTCATGTTCCAGAGTTCACATTATGAAATAAAAACCATAATATATGTATATACATGTTGACTTGTCATTCTTTTTGAATATAGCATGTATGACTAATTAGCCTGTGCAACCAGCTATACGACAAAACCTCAATAACATTTACTTTACATCAAATCTAATTTTACCAAAAATTATCTTTAAAATACAATAACTTCATTCAAAAGATGTAACAACAAATGAATAATTTATCATGCGTTCGCATACAAGATGTTCTTAATGAAAGTTTTTAGACAAATTATAAAATTTTAAACCGAGTCTGCAATTCTTATGTAATTTTGTTGTGATTAATGCTTCCGAGGGATCACTTTGTTTCCAGATTTTTATATTTCACAACAAAGGGTGTCAAGTGCCGTGTGGCAGCTGTGAACAGTTGCCCCGAAGTTCACTTCAGTGTTGTTATATTTTCAATTATTGTTAATTAACCCTAAATTTATCATGTGAAATGATTTATAAATGTTTAGGACAATTTAAAATGGTAGTGAAGTTTGCCTCAATCCTGGTGGTATACAAATTTTCCGGTGCTGTTTATATAAAAAGTAAGATTTGCCTAGTATATATTATGCAGAAAACTATTGTCATTCTTTATGAAACTTGTAGACTCAAAAGATTAGAGAATAGCAGAACTCCTCTGGGATCCAATAAAGACTTGAGCTATTACAATATTAATAATGCCTTTGTTAGAGGTAGGTTGTTTATATAGAGGATATTTGTTTAGTTCAGTGTATGATCGGAATATATTTCACCGAGTGAGCACCAAAAGGTATATTTCACGAGTGGCGCAGCCACGAGTGAAATATGAACTTTGGGTGTTCACAAGGTGAAATATATTTCGATCTTACACTAAACTAAACAAATTTTCTTTTTATTATATGCAAAGAAACGTTTTAAAAAGACATTAAATCTAATGCTGAATGAAAAGCGCGCCAAATAATAATACAACGTGACGTCATTTACGACGTCACGTCATTAAGTTGGTACCCAGTACTGTGCACGCTGGTATTTCACTGAAACAACGTAAGGGGCTTAAATTCAAAACAGTGAAATTATCAAAGTGGTAATTTCACTGTTTCAAACAGTGAAATTACCAGTTTTATTTCACTGATATATTTCTATAAACCACCAAAAAGCATGTAATAAATAGCTACCTTTCCAACTTTTATTTTTTCTGTATTACAAATAAATTCCTTTTTTGATCATTGTATCATAAATTTGAATCATAAATTTGTTTATATTATAGTTCACATGTTAAACAATTAAATGCAATACACGATATTTTCAACATATGTATAGGTACGGAGGGAAATTAATCGTAGAATTGCAGTATATTCAGCAAAGTTTTAAGAAAGACATCAGTATAAAGGCATACGTCTTCTGAACATAATAAAATTTAAAATGAGAATTGATAAAAACAGGCAGTTTTATAGATAAAAAGACGCAATTCTGTCGCCGCCGATAGGGGGCGCTTTGGGGCCATATTAACGTTCTTTATTACATGCTTTTCGGTGGTTTATAGAAATATATCAGTGATATAAAACTGGTAATTTCACTGTTTGAAACAGTGAAATTACCACTTTGATAATTTCACTGTTTTGAATTTAAGCCCCTTAAGTTGTTTCAGTGAAATACCAGCGTGCACAGTACTGGGTACCAACTTAATGACGTGACGTCGTAAATGACGTCACGTTGTATTATTATTTTGCGCGCTTTTCATTCAGTATTAGGTTTAATGTCTTTTAAAAACGTTTCTTTGCATGTAATAAAAAGAAAATTTGTTTAGTTTAGTGTAAGATCGAAATATATTTCACCTTTTGAACACCAAAAGTTCATATTTCACTCGTGGCTGCGCCACTCGTGAAATATACTTTTTGGTGCTCACTCGGTGAAATATATTCCGATCTTACACTGAACTAAACAAATATCCTCTATATCTTTATAAAATAAAGCTGCGGAATTACAACCTACCTATCAACATGTTTTGCAAGTCATTAATAAAGATCTGTCCAATTTTAGTCGGAAAGTAGCGAGTTAACCTTTCGTAATACATATATTTTTGTGATAAAGCTCCATTGCTATGGAAAGCCAACGTCTCATTATATAGTTTATATCTTGGTTAAAATTAGGTTCGTTTTGTATCAAAGTATAGTAAGAAATATGTTAACTTAGATAACATTCTAAATTGAATTTTAAAGTGTACAGAATGTGATTTTATGTACGGAAACTTAAACAGATTGTAATTATTGCAGCCAATACCGACACGAGACAAGCTGATGTTAACCAATCTACAACTGTTTATGATACCGACACAGACACAAGACTAGCTGACGTTAACCAACCTACAACTGTGTATGAAAGTCTAACCACTACTGGTGTAAACCGGTTCGCTGATTATAGTTCTCTAGAGCTACAGGTAATATTTTTAAAAGTTTACGATTAAACACATTATGTTAGCTGATTTTAGTTCTTTGAAGTTATAGGTATGTTTTGATAAAAAAATGATAGATCATGTAAATAACATTCAATAAATCATTAAGTCTTTTTATCAATTGTGCATCCTAGCATAATGCTAATTGAAAATTATAGGTATGTTTTGATAAATTGGATAGATCATGTAAATAACATTCAATAAATCGTTTAGTCTTTTTATCAACTGTGCATGCGAGCATAATGCTAATTGAAACTATTACGAAACATAAAAACTTTCTCATTCTCTTTATTAGTATATAAATGTATTCCACTTTCCTTCATGAAATATCTGTATTTTTTGTTTTACAAGGATGTGCCGACATCAGAATTACCGAATGATCACACAGTCCAATTAGATCCTGGAGTCCAATACTACAATGTATCGGCAAAATAAAGAAGTATTTTGCAATGTTATGAATGGAAATAAATTAACTAATTGACAAAGAAAGACAGCAATAAACAAAAAGAAACAAAAAAATCCCATTTAAGATGGCCTTAATGATTACCTTGCGGAAAAGCCGCCATATAGCCTCTACTGAGTTGTGGCGACGTAAACCCCAACAAAAAATATATGATGTACTACCCCATCTCGAAATTCAGCGTTTAAAAACTTTAAATCTTCCAGCTGCTACTAAATTCAACTGAGGCACGAAATTTCATTGATATCACTTTTGAATTCCGATCTTCGGATTGCCTCAAAATTTAAAGCCCGAATTAAAGCTTTGAGATGTTTTAATTTCGATCAAAGATCAACGTTAGTTCGAAATTAATCTTCAAAATATCTTAATTTTCGATCTCAGAGCTGGCCCGAAAGTCAAAGTAAACACGATTTTAATAAATATCGATCTACGAGCTGACTCGAAATTCAAACCAGGTTCGAAATTCAAAGCTGGCTGGGAATTCAAATCAAGCTCGAAATCGGCTACATGTATATTGTCGAGGTCCGAGGTCAGTGCTTGCTTTTCGTTATTTAAGAAGCACAAATGTTCGTCTTTATTTAGAGCATTCCATTTTGTTTTATTACTCACTTAATACTTAGTCTTGACTGAATGCATTCAAGTCAAATTCATAGAAGGGAGAGGAACCATACAATTTTTCTTTTGTTCTAATCCCTTTCAATTTTATATAACATAAAATGTAAAATATGTAAAATATTGAAATAAATATGTTTGAACTAAATACATTGAAATATCAAAACGTCTACGGTTTATATATCAAGTAAGTATTTAAATATGATATCCTGGTGCGTAAAAATCAAGATTATAGTACAGATTTAGGTAAACTTGAGTTAAAAGCATACCTAATCATCTTCTTCTTGTTATTATTTCACCGTCAATATTCACTTTTGAAAGAATTAGATCAGTGTGTAGTTAAATTGCTATTGCTGTAACATATACTTTATTAGCAAGAGGTGGACATTTTTTATACAGTTAACTGACATAAGGTCAGCGGTTATCCAGACACGTAATTGTTCTTGTTGTTGTTGCTTTTTTGTGTTTTTTTACCTGACTTTTTAATATTAATACAATGATATGAGGCTGGTGATATATTGAAAACATGTGAAAAGTTAAAGATAAGTTAAACATAAAATACTTTCAAATGAAGGTGTGTTACAGTCAAGATGATTTAATGAAAGTTCTCAATGACGCGGAATCAATAATTCAGTACGAATCTCATAAAATTAGTTTTGGTTGGTTTTGTAAATCTGAAATTTACTGAACCATTAGATACTTCCTTATTTAACGAACTTTATTTGAAATCATAGCAAAACGTTTGAATGTCCTACTAAATGTGATGATGATATTTTATTATATTGATAAATGATATGTGAAAAATCTGAGTGTTGATAGTAAACATAGAATTATCAAAGACTAATTGATTGATTACACGTGGTTAACTCCAGGTAAATATGAAATACTACATTTTAATACATACTTTTTCTCTCTCTGTTTTTCTAAATAATAAAATAAAATATTTATTGTTAAAAATTCATGTTTTTCCACTTATAATACCTCTACATTTAGCATTTGTAAATCAATTTCGAAATCGTCGCGTACCTTCAATCTTTATTTAGATACTTAAAAGATGCCTATATAACCACGTTGTTTATTTGAAAAGAAAGTGTCATATAACCACGTTGTCTATTTAAAAACAAACAGTTATATAATAATTTTGTCTAATTGAAAAACAATGTGTTATATAACCACGTTGTCTAGCTGAAAACAAAGTGTTATAAAACCACGTTGTGTAATGGAAAAAAAAGTGTTATATAAACACGTGTCAAGTTATAAACAAAGTGCTATATAACCACGTGTCTAATTGAAACATGACATTTAATGTGTGTTGCGACTTCAAATCAATCACTTTCATGTTATGGATAAAGAATTATGTCATTTTAGGTCGTTATCACTCTGAACACATGAGCAAATGAATGTTGGAGATATAAAAATGAAGAATACTTTGTTAGGACTAGTTTTACTTTTATGTGACACAGGTATGTTTTAAACATCATCATAATCAGCATATGACTACTTTTATATTACATACCTAACAGCATACAGGTGTAATTTCAATAAATTAACACTTGCGATGATTATTTTATTTCATTTGACTCTGATGTACACATTTTGTATTGAGCAATGGTGTATAACATCAAATAAAAATGTTTTGTAACTATTAAATGCATGAAGAGAAATGATAATGCATTTTCGACTACACTTTAAGATTGTATATGTATAATTATCTACGCTAAGGTAAAATAACTACTATTACACTTTATTTCCAATTTTCACAAATTTTAGATATAATAGAAAAAAATATTTTATATATACATTCACATTCATTACATGTTACTCGGTTGGTATGCGTGCTTTATCATTAGATTAAAGAACTCCATTAAAAGCTTGCACACACCACTCCCTACATATTTTATATGTTCATTTACAATTTTATCTTGACTTCCACATTTATTTATTTTCATAGACTCTATTCCTACATATTGTTCTTGTGAGAAACATATTTCAATACTAATTTTGATCAGAATTTTTATCACATGTTTATGAAAAAATTAAATAAGTCAAAAGAGAGTATAAAGTTATATGAAATGTTATACATTGTTGTTTAGAAGCCGTAACAAAATAACATTTTCACTTTTTACCTTACATCTTTTAGTTCTAGCACTGAATGAATGTGGCAGGTGTAACTGTTGTATAAATGGAACTTCAAGATGTGAATACAACAATAATGAAGACGGTGTATGTTTGGATGGTTGTATTGACGGATACTTTACTGACAGTTGTGTACATGCTTGTAGTTACAATTGTGTGACATGTTCTGGTGTAAGCATTTGTAACACATGCAAAAATGGCTACTATATTGGCCGAAATGCGACTTCTAATCAATATAAAGTTGATTGTAGTTTATCGTGCTCGGAAAACTGCATTTCATGCACTACGTATTATAACTGTAGTATATGCAATGATGGATTTTACAACGGGAGACAATACCCATCCAGCGATGTTGTAGCCTACAATTGTCAACATAAATGTAGAGATAATTGTGCAACATGTTCTGATGCAAGCACATGTCACACGTGCAAATATGGCTTCTATATTGGTCGTAATCCGGAAAATAATCTATATGCAGAAGATTGTAGTTTATCGTGCCCGGACAACTGTAATTCATGCACTTCATATTATAACTGTAGCATATGCAATGATGGATTTTACAACGGGAGACAATACCCATCCAGCGATGTTGTAGCCTACAATTGTCAACATAAATGTAGAGATAATTGTGCAACATGTTCTGATGCAAGCACATGTCACACGTGCAAATATGGCTTCTATATTGGTCGTAATCCGGAAAATAATCTATATGCAGAAGATTGTAGTTTATCGTGCACGGACAACTGTAATTCATGCACTTCTTATTATAACTGTAGCAAATGCAATGATGGATATTACAATGGGAGACAATACCCATCCAGCAATGTTGTAACCAACAATTGTCAACATAAATGTAGAGATAATTGTATATCATGTACATCATACGATAATTGTACACAATGTAAAACTGGGTTTACAGGTGATCAATGTGATAATTGTGAGGTAGGGAAGAACGGGAGTGTCGACTGCGTTAATTCATGTTCTGTAGGTTGTGAAAATAACAAGTGTACTTATACTGGGGAATGTCCTAGGTGTAAGGAGGGGTTTACCGGGGTTAAATGTGATAGATGCATCAATGGTAAGTTCGGGAATATGTGTGACCAAAACTGTCCTCGTACCTGTCTGGCGTGTTATTCATTGACAAACTGTTCTCAATGTATAGGAAAGCACTGGGGACGTACCTGTCAACAATGTCCCGTAAACTGCTTCAATTGCCCTTCCAATAGCATTTGCTCATCATGTGACAGAGGATTTCATGGACAAATATGTAATAAACAATGCAATGTTAACTGTCTTGATGGTCGCTGTGACCTATTGTCTGGAAACTGCAATGACGGATGTGTCGCTGGCTTTTACGGAAACTTTTGTGATATAAAATGCAGCAATGACTGTGTGAATTTAACATGTGACAGAATACATGGGACCTGCTTACAGGGGTGTAAGGCAGGATACAACGGTAAAATGTTTTCTATTTAATAAACAGTATTACATCTTACACAAACTAACACAGTAAGCAAGCAAGTAAGTAAGTGAATGAGTCAATAAGAATAATTATGATAAAAGTAATTATAACAATTTAACCGATTAAAACAACAATAACAATAGAAATAACATCATTTTTTGTTCAATTTGAAATAACGATATTCTTTTAAAAATAGAACAAAAGTAAAAGAAAAGCTCATGTTAAGCCTGTTTATACTTATGAACTAATGCTGAATGGGTGAAATATTGAACTCACAAAAAGTTATTGCTGTAAATATTTTATATCACTATTTTTATACTAGTAGAAATAATGATAATAACTATTATTATACATGTAGATAAAATAAGTTAACAAAAGATTTGAAGACATTGCACATTTTTCATATGTTATGTATTTTATTGTTTTATTTATTACAACAACTATATATTCGGCGACTGAAAATGAAGACACTAAAGGAGTAATAATAGGTGCTGCGGTAGGTGGTGTCATTCTCCTGATAATAATAGTGGTACTTGTTGCTGCAGTGGTCCTCCTGGCAAGAAGGTAAATACCAGAACAATAATACATAAATGAAATAAATATATGTTTTATTTTATGCCTTCAGTTTTTTATCTATGAAAGTATCCTTCATTCAATAAATCAGAAATAAAATTATCCTGAACAAGGGACGAGTATGAGCAACCCATAGACCGTTACAAAATTTGACGTTAGGTCTGATTCGCTTTGAGATTCATCAGTTGGTAAAATTCTTCAATATCCTGTTCTTATTTAAATTGTTTTTAGATGACTTTTAATTATCAAAGCAATTGAATTTGATCAGACAAAACTTTCAACTCATTTTTTTAAACTTCAACAATTGCTTTGACACAATTCAAATTAAATTATTATACAGTATAGAATCTAATAAATTACACGTTGAAAGAATAAATTCTTGAGGGTATTCATGACTATTGCAGGTGCAAATTATCGAAGTAAAATTTTTCATTCCATATTATTTTTTAAATTTTTACTTTGGTAAAAAATGTGTGTCGTAAAGTTTCTAGCAAAACTACAGATAAGTATAGAAAACAGAGAACGGGCAGTTAGCTTGGATTTCACGATATCTGCGGCATATCGACGTATCTAGTGTCGGAAACTTGTGAATAAGATGGCAGCAAATAATTATTAAAATCTCTCAAACACGTTTACTTTGCATGAAATCTAATTTTACCACAAATATTTAGAATACAAAATGTTTATTTAAAAGATGTTCTTATATAACAAATCAAAGGTTTTAGATAAATTATAAAATTTGAAACGCGAAGAAATTTGTAGCATCATATTTTGTTTCAGGACATTTTACTCTAAAAATAACAGAGATATATTTTGCAATACCTCTTTCAAGAATCGACCTTAAGATAAGGGAAGCATGTATACTTTTAATTTTTTACATAAGTGTTACATAAATATACATTATTCGGTACCTATCAGATATTTTTCGGTTTGGGTATTTGCTAGAAAGGAATAACTTTTTCATCAAACATATCCATTTCCTAATCAAATTCACAGATTCAAATCGGTTGATGGTCACGCAAGATATTAACAGAAATAGCTGAAATGTGACTAACAAAATCCAAAATGATTGAGTATAAGCGGATATACAGTATATAGAACAAATGTCTGAAATTGTTTCAACAATGCTGTGTGAAATACATCACCCTACCTTAAATATATTATTATTTCTTTTTAAAATTCCAATTGGATTTTTAATTTTTATTTCTGTAAAATATGAATTCTGATAGGAGATATTTCCAGTAGAAAATATTGAGAAAAAAATCAGTAGGAAAAATTCCAGTTGGAGACATTCCAATCGGATTTTTTTCCTGTTAAAACAAATGGAAAAAATGCAATTGGATTTTCAAAAGAAAATGCTCAAATTAACGCTTTTTCAACAGGAAAGTACATAAAAATACATACTTAGCATATGGTGAAACATTCCCACAATTTATATAAAATAAGAAAATCTAATTGAATAAATAGACAATGCTGCAAAATAATCCGATTGGAATTTTAATTTTTCCGGGTGGGTGACATTTCTTAGGATAGATTCAGCTGAAATTTGCCCGAACAAAATTTTTAAAGTGTAACTTTAGACGAGAAAGCAAATAAATAAAGCTTAAATTGAAGTCAATTATTGTTAATTAACCCTAAATGTATCATGTGAAATGATTTATAAATGTTTAGGAGACATTTAAATGGTAATGAAGTTTGCCACAATCGTGGTGGTACACAAATTTTCCGGGGCTGTTTATATAAAAAAGTAAAATTTGCCTAGTATATATTATGCAGAAAACATTTGTTATTCTTTTTGAAACTTGTAGACTCAAAAGATTAGAGAAAAGCAGAACTCCTTTGGGATCCAATAAAGACCCAAGCTACTACAATATTAATAATGCCTTTGTTGGAGGTAGGTGGTTTATATAGCAACTTTTGTTTCTGCAAAAAAATCTTCTTTTGATCATTTAATCATAATTTTGAATCATAAATTTGATTAATTATAGTTTACATGTCAAATAAAATGCAATGCACGATATTTTCAACAGATGTATAGGTACGGAGGGAAATTAACCGTAGAATCGCAGTATATTCAGTTTTAAAACGACATCAGTATAAAGGCATACGTCTACTGAACATTATAAAATTTAAACGAAGAAAATCGAATGAGAATTTATAAAAACAGGCAGTTTTATTAAAAAAAAGCAATTCTGCCACCGCCGATAGGGGGCGATTTGGTGGTCATATTAACTCTCTTTCTTTACAAAATAAAGCTGCGGAATTAAAACCTACCTATCAACATGTTTGCCTACCAATAATAAAGATCTGAGATATTGTCCAATTTTGGTCGGAAAGTAGCGTGTTACATTTCGACATACACATATTTCTGTGATAAAGCTCAATTGCTATGAAAAGCCAAAGTCTCATTATATAGTTTACATCTGGGTTAAAATTAGGTACGATTTGTATCAAACTATAGTAAGAAATATGTTAACTTAGATAACATTCTAAATTGAATTTTAAAGTGTACAGAATGTGATTTTATGAACGGAAACTTAAACAGATTGTAACTATTGCAGCCAATACCGACAAGAGACAAGCTGACGTTAACCAACCTACAACTGTGTATGAAAGTTTAACAAATACTGGTGTAAACCGGTTCGTTGATTATAGTTCTCTACAGCTACAGGTAATATTTCTAAAAGTTTACGATTAAACACATTCTGTTAGCTGACTTCAGTTCTTT